ATCACCGTGATGAATTCTCAGCCACATTAGTTATCTCATTTAGAACTGATGATGACTTCTGATGTTTACATGGACGTTCAATATAGTTATGGGGAAAACTATCACTGGTTGGGTCAATGCTTGTGAGCGATCATTGTTTCTTTCATTATGTGATAAAGTTACTGCCAATAACGTCCTATTTTCTACGGTACCAACCATGAAATTATGTAATGAAATTTCAATAATGAAAATATAATATGAATAGATGACTTTATAATGATTCTATTAGCTTCAAAATCGCATATACCTATCAAAGTAATGGGTGTACATGACTGCGATATTGATTCTGATAATAAATGTTTAGCTGCCGGTGACAAATCTTGCTTCTTCCTCTTAACTGAAGATCCATAATCAGTAGAAGACATTATGGATGAAACACAACAAAAAATGTAGAGGAAGACTCCAGCAGATGCGATAGCTTTTTCATGTCCATCTGAATAGATGTAGTAAACACTTTATATTAAAATAAGAATTCTTGGGCACCACTCAATATATATTTTGAGTAAGAGAAAGACGGTCAATATTTATACTGGCAACTGTGCCACTACTAAATATAGTAAAGGACGAAAAACCACACTAACTAAGTTTCCAACTTCCAATTCGGGATGACATCTAGTTATGGCGAGTAAACAAAACATTCAAACACAAATATCAAAGAATATAGAGTTAGCTAAGTGAACTATCCTCTTACCTATTTGATATACCATAAGGTGAGGAAGAATTTATAGAACAAAAAACAAATTTTATATACTAATCAACGTCATATCCCTTCCACTCATAACATATTATTTAGTGAATTCTATATAGAAAAATATAATATATCATATTCCAAAATCGTATGGCTTGAATTTATATTGAGGATAAGCTTGCCAGACTATTCTTCATTTTCAGTATATAAGCAATCACTATTGGATCCACCATAAATTACGTTGCTGGTACTACCCTATTACTTAAAAAATTATCATACCAAGGTGGAGTGCATTCTATATAGAGAAATATAATATAATAGGAAGATTTTGAATATGATGCATTATAATAAATAACGAATACATTAATATTACTAAATTATTAATAAATTATTAAATACGAATGTTGAAAAAATTATTCTTATTGTCCAAATGATTATTCCTAACTCTGATATATGATAACTTAAGCTCAAACGATATAACTATTTAGAAGTAACATATAAGTATATAAAAGTAATAGCATGAAAATCCTTAAATTCAAATAAATTATACAAAAGAGTTAGAGTCTGATGTATGATAACTTTTTCCCTAAAGTTTCCTTTTACCTGTAAATACATTAAATATTATCACATTTTAAGCGAGATATGAAATTTATTGGGAAACTATGCAAAAAAAAAAAATTTCCTAAACGACCTTTGATATGCCATATTTATTATATAGTGACTATTTCATTTATTACCAGTAAATTGCCCATGTTGCCATTTTCACAATGAAAATAATGTTTACTGAAAAGGAGTAGGTAACAACAAAAGAAAACAATGACTCATATATTGAAGATATTGAGAACAAAACATAACTTTCAGATGACAACTAAAACTAAACATAAAATGCCAATAAACTTTGAAACAGTGAAACAACCTCACAAATATATCAGCAACAACTAAAGAAAAATAATGCGAAAACATGAATCATCACTAATTAGATCCATCTTAAGCCATCCCTCTTTATCTAAACATATTTCTCTTTCTTCATTGCCTTCAACAACCCTTGCTGAACTCCTGAAACTGTAGACCCATTGGCCTCATGCGAAGACTCCCCAGTGGCAGCATTCCTCTTTCGTAGAACTCTCTTTCTCACCTTACTTAGTGCTTCGACTGTGGGCAGTGGGATTTCTTGCATCCAAAGGTCTTGAACAAGTGCAACTGTAGGACTCTGTACCTTATCAGAGAGAGGACTACTCAGATCCATAGTTTTGTCTTGTCCAGATTCAACATCCTCAGAAACCTTCTCAATATTCATAACAGAAGTACCTCCATCCTATAACAAATAACCAAGTTATGGTTAATATAAGATGAAATGAGTTTATCAATACCTAACAAATAAGCATATCAGAAGAAATACTAAATTCTATTAAGTCACAAACTGTGAAGCAACTTCAAGTAACTGGTCCATTAAATCCTCACATATAGTGTAGCTAGAGACACTAATACTGGAATTCTAGTGCAGCACATTGTAGTCATTAAGTTTCAACTTCAATAGCATTCTCTTGCCAACTAAATCATCTAGATTTTTGGGGAAATCATATACATTGTTCACCTATTATGCAGTGAAAGACATAAAAACAATTAGCTAAAGAGATACGTTAACAAAAGAAAACATTACAAATACTGCACTCTCATACAGTAAAAAAAAAAACATACAAGAGCCTTCAATTCAAATGCAATCTTATCAAGTAGTTGTATAGCAAGCTTGTCCCAAAAAATCACTGATGCACTACCAGATTCATCATCAACCAAGTAATGAATTTTTAACCTGGGATCATTTGAAGCAATCTTTAAAAAAATGATTCAAGAGTATAGGCAAATATTGAAAAATAAACGGGATAAAAATGACCAACTTCGGCTCCACAGAGTCAGGCTTCCTCTGACACCCCGGATAGATCAATCCACCATTCTTCTCTCTTGGCTTGGTTGCACAAATAGTACAACCATCATACGTCCAACCATACTTTGTTTCAAACTTCTGAATAACATAGTTTGGCACAAAGTTTTCACCCTGCAAATAGATTGGAATGAAATTATTATGACATCACTTTACTAAAAATGACATTCCATAGGTCCAGCATTCAAGCAGGAATAAAAGGAAAAAATAATCAATTCATATAAATCAGAAAAAGACAATATGGCACATACAATTTTTTGCCGAGGAATTTGAGAGATCAAGATCTTATTCTCATTCCTAGATATGCTAGGTCTATTTGAATAACTTAATTGAGAGGGCATTAGCTGAGTGATAGTTGTACCAGTAGGAGGTGATTCCTCTTTCGCTCTGTAGTAAATTAATCTTTAACCGTCACATAAGTAGAAAAGCATTAAAAAAAACAAGATATATTGACAAATAACAGGTATACCATTGCACCAATTACTTAGCTTCTTTGATGGGAGGATTGAATTCCACAATGGTTGATTAAATGAGCTATAAACCTGAGGTTGACCTACATTCAGGACTAAACAATTAAAATAATTGAACAAAACCTCATATGAAATAGCTTTAACAATGGGCACGGTGCATAATATTTACCATCCTCAGATAAACCTATATGTGCAAGACCCGACAATAATACAACAGGCGTCTGAGTGTTACCAACATAAGCAGTATATGCCTTTCTAGCACACTCATCATATAGAATGCATTCCATGTCATTCTCCCTATATGAACAACATTAACATACATAAAATTAAGGCTACAACTGTAGTTCATAGCAAAACATGCAAACAAAATTTTAGGTCATTCAAAATAATGTGTACACATACTCAATGCCTATTAATAACATTATGAACTTATACTTTGTCTCGTTATCTCTCCTATACTCCTCAAGGTTTCTAACAGACTTCACAAAAGTAAGGACGTCTACATAAAAAAAACACATTTGATTTCATTTATTGCTTAACAAAGATGATGGCATCTTTAACAGGAAAGTTTAAATAGGAATAAACTTATGGCCTGAACTACTACCAACTAAACGATCTACCGGATGCTCCTCATCCACCTTCTTGATATCAAGGAGTGAGAAAAAAGTGTAAAAGACCAATGGAATATTCCCACTCTCTTCTTTCACATATGTATAATGAGAGAAAGCAATCTTGAAAGAATGTGTTGTGGGTCTATACTGATTCTCATTTTTTAGCACCTCAAAGTCATCAATAAAGTAAATTTTTCCTTCCTCAGGGGAGTGAGCATATTTTCGGTAGAGGCTTCTTTGTATCACAACTGCTAGCATCTTAATTCCCAGTATTAGGAAAGCAAACAATCAAAATATATACAAGTTCATAAAATAATATGAAGAGAAAGATGACGTGTTACGCTCATCATATACCTCCTGGTCGACAAGCAAAAAAGATGCAGAACAGGTCCGTTGGTGTGGCCTTCGAATATATGTTCCACTTCCTGAGAACCCTGACTAGTAATTTCCACCTATTAGTGTGATCATTGACCTCTTTAAGCAAAGATATGTTCTCCATTGTCTAACAGAAACAGAGACTTAGTAGGAAGAGAAGTTTGAGTGATCACTTGAGAATCAAAATGTGGTGTGCAGAACCTCAAACTAATACACTATTTATAGAAACAGACTCAAACAAATAATCATCCATATATATATAAATACTCTTCCACCAAGCCGGCTCGAATATGGCTTATTCTCAGCTTTAGATACATATTACTGTTCACAAGCCACTTTAGGTTTATCTCAGGCTTCGTTTGAGCTGATTTTAGTTAATGTCATGCTTTGGGCTCCGCATTCAGCCCATATGTTTCTAAAAAGCTTTCTACCAATTCAAATTTCAAAATTCCCAAGCCTCCCGCCGTGTGGCAACTTCGGTTTCGTACTTCTCCCCATCGCCTACCTCAGATGCGATAACCTTCCTATCTGCCTCATTCTCACCTCAAATTCTTCTTCCACAAACTGCTCTATGATTTTTTCTTCTTCACAGTCTTCTTTCATGATTGCCGATGAATCCGTGCTTCCATCTTAAGCATTCAGCAAGGCATTTGTGCTCTCTGCTCTTCCTCTAATTTTCTTCATCTCTTCCATCTCCCTCTCACTATTGCTTCTGCTTCTCCCCTGATCTTCTTTTAAATTTATCTCGTAGATCCCCATTACCGATAATCTTTTATGTAGATATGTGTGAACGGTGGGGATATATTGCGATCATGCTAGCACCGAAGAAGCAACGGCACCAGCCACGATGAGGATTCTGACCATGTCCTCGCCCTCACCCTCTTTCTTTGTGGCAAGAGAACGATACCTAAAACACAGAGAACACCCGAAAAAAAAAAAAGATCTAGATGCATGTCTCAGAAGAAGAACCGACCTGCTTTAAATGCGAGGAGAGCAGATGGGAAGAGGTTGAAGGTAGGGAACAAGATGCTTAGATATGAGAGACTTCCGATGGTCGCCCTTTCATTCCATTCCCCACAACTACGGAGGAATGTAACCACAATAGAACCACTGTTGTTATGATCAAGAACATTCCATATCACTTTCAGCACCTGTTCTCTCCTTCTTCGCCTTTTATTTTTCTCCCCGGCCCATCCTCTATCTTGTGTTTGTGCGTTATATGTAACTGTTCACCTTCTGACTAATACGGTTATCTGTGCCATGGGGATTGTCAGGTCTAAAAGATCTGATATCGATATTGGACAAGCACTGCTCCCAGCAAAATCAAAGCTCTCAGCAGGCATCTTCTCTCTCCATGTATGATTTTGTCTCTCTACCAATGGGTTACATGTAAGTGCAAACATGCCATGCTGTGTGCCGGGGATAATAATGAAGATCCTCTTTGATTGTGAGGTATGGGGTTTATTATTAAAAACTAAAATGATGAGGTTTTGAGTCTAAGGATTGATTGACTTATAACAGCATGTCAAAACTAAAATGATGTTCATTATTTTTTAGCAGGATGGCAAAGGTTCAGCATATCCTGAGCTCAAACGAAGTAGAGATATTATCCATAAAGGTTGATGAGATCCAGCTGAAGCTAAAATGAACGGGCAAGATGAGAAGGCTGAGGTACTGATTTGATTGCTTCTGTATTTTCTCATATAAAGTGTAGTTTTTAGCTGCTGCGTATATAATCTGTGTTCTTGGACTACTTTATGTGCACTTCATAATGAACATCTGGATTTACACTTATAATCATCAATTTAAGTGACATTATTATAATATGCTGATCCTTATAAACAAATGGGTAATGCTCCATCATCACTTTCCCAAGTGTATATACACAGTAGGAAGGACATGAAAACTTCGCATTCTTGATCTGCTAGAGTCAAGAAAAAGACCATAGCATTAATAACAATAGTAATCCAATTCATTCTAACATAAACTCAGAATATAAGAAGCAATGTTCACCATAAAACTTCAATTATATCATCACTTATCAGAATATGCAAAAGTTATCTCATGAAGTTTTTATTCCATGCAATGTTAAAAATTCACACATTTCTTTTCGAATTAAAAAAAAGGATATCAGATCATGTATAAATCAGTGGAAACACATTCAAATGCTTCTTTGTTGTCAAATACAAGTGTGAACTAACAAAGCACATGATTTAAAAAGAAAAAAAAGGACAATATATTCTCATGCTCTGCCAAATGAGGCGTCGTAGAAGTTGCAGGTGGATGCTCTTTCTTCTGAATCTAAAGTGTTGTGAGAGATTTTGGCAGTCCAGAAGTAAATGCAGGGAGAATCACTTTTACATAAAATCAGAGATTTAGAGGATGACTTTTCTGAGGTATTGTCTCTTTCCTCTGCTACTTATAGATTTATGTATCAGTTTTCTCTTCCTTCTTTTCTGTTTCACAGAGTTTAGTGTCACTTAACCATTAATTCTTAAACGTGCGTGCATCAGGAAAACAAATAACATGCTTTGATCGCAAGGCTGACTTTGATTTGTAGAAAGTTTGGGGAAGGACTGTTTTTAGAAGTTTCATTCAGGGGATCTTTCATAATTACCAATTACTGACAAAAGGAAATAGAAATATTATTGGGTGATATTATAGGTATCTGTATGAAAGTAGATAAGAAAAGTTGTGTTTTTGCTGTCTGAAACTAATAATCTGGCCTGACCAAGTTAATATGTCATTGATTTACACAAATTGTTGAAAGTATACCCAGCTTTTGAATAAATTCTAATGTTATGTACATATATTGGCTATCTCATTCTTTCACTGCTTCTATATCTTTTAATTAGTACATCTCTCAGTTCCTGTGTTGCAAGCTAATAGCTTCTATATAAAATATGGTGTTTGTTGTTGTTGTTGTTTTTTTTTTTTCCCCAGTGTGTTGTATCTACCTATCTGGATCAATGAGTCAACACGAGAAGATTTTCGTTATTTATGTTCTATCTCAGAAAGGAAATATTGTGCCTACAAAACTTCCAATGTAGCCTTATGCATTTTTGATGCAATTAAGAGGCGTAAGGGGGTTTCTTTTTTTAATGCAGGCACAAGGAACTATAATCCATTGGAAGCTATTAGCTTTGTCTCTGGTATACCAGTGAAGCGGTACATGGCAATATCAATGCCTGTAAAAGAGATAAATATGTTCCCCTGGCGATACGAGTGAGGAAATATTATGCAGAAGCTATCTTAGTGCAAGTTTCTTATTCCTATGTGCTATTGTTCATGCACGAAAAGTTGTCACCATTACGCCATCAACAGCCCTGTCTCTCAAAGATAAGAGTTATCTGCATCAAAGTACTGACCATTCTGTGCAGAACACATTGTTATGAGTACTATGTCCAGTATTTTTTTTATTGTTAGTATTAATCATGTGGATGTTATGAGACACGTCTCCCAGTGTAGCAATATCGTCAGTATGTATATATAATTGGTCAACTACAATGTCTGTATTATATGTTAATTTTTAAAGCTTCTTTATGAAAAAGAATGCGGACAAACAATGGGGAAGTTTTAAGTGAAGGCGTCATTTTCCCATTTAAGTCACTTTTGTAACATTTGTCTCTTAATTTGAATTCGTTGCACAATAGTATAAATCATTAAATGTAGAGGATCTTGATGTTTAAGGTTGGAAATTTCTATTGCACATCATGAATCAATAATAAAATATAACATCCCTGTTATGTGTTTTCCCGCACTTTAAGCACCTTGCAAGTGATGCTGCGTTTCTGTTCCTTTACATGGTGCTAATGATTGATGTTATTTTAGTATGGAATTCTTCAAATTTTATACCTGCTCTAATTTTTTCCTTGAATTATTTGGGGGATGTAAGGCCATAAAATATGTATCCTTGACTTGGGTAGGATTTAGAAAATCATAATGGTAAGTGGATGATTTGTTTTTTTTTTTTTTAACCGACGTGGATTATTTGTTTGTTGATGCAATATGATTATTTGTAATTTTATAACCATTGAAGCCCACGCCCTCATACGTTTCATGAGGAAGTAAACTTCTTTTTTTTTTTTTTTTAATCTTGACATATGAAGAGGATTTTTTCCATTATTTTTTATCATTGAAAAAGAAGGTTATAGTTACTATTGAATAAATCTTATATGTGAGTTAGGAGCACGATAGGATGGAAAATATTTTTACATAATTTTGGGATGGTTGTTAAAAATCAACTATTATTGGAAGATGTAGGAATTTACACTCAATATGATATCTAAATGTTAACCGGAAGCAGAGAGTCATAAAAGATAAAGGTTTTTTTTTTTTTTTTGGGGACCAGCCATAAAAGATAAAGTTGAATTCATAACTATGATTGGAGGCTAAAATGTCATGACTCTTATCAATTAACAGTAGGAAATAATTTATATTAATTTGTACATGATACAAATGTAATGAAACAAATATAATCATTTAAATAAAGCTTAGAGATTGTGCTTAGAAATTTTCATATCTTCATTTTTTATGTGTCATGAATTCATGAAATATCATGAATTATGATATATTTATGTGTAGTAAAAGGTGAGTTTTTTTTTATAAAATAAAATAAAAAAATTTCAAATTACAAGCTCTCCGCGCATTGCGCGGGAAGCACATGCTAGTTGGTAGGAAAACAAAGCCAAAAAAGTATTAAACAAATCATTCCCTCGAAAATGCTTAGCTTGGACATCAAGAAAACTTTTGGTAGCCCGTTAAGAATGTGTAGTCAACCTTGGATCGGGGAAGTATGGTCCAAATAAATGCCATAAACTTTTGGCAGCCCATTAAGAAGCATCATTAGGAATGCCACTGTGAAGGGAGAATTCAAATAGGAAAGGGACCGAGCACAATGTAATATTTCTGACTATGCATATTAATAGTAAGAGGACAACTTTAGGCAAGTAGGGAGTCAATAAAGGGTCTACTCTTTCACACTTACGAAAATTTTGATAATAGTGTTTAAAAAGTATAAACAAATCATGCCCTCCAAAACAATTAACTTGAAGATGGAGAAGAACTTTTGGTAGCCCCTTAAGAATGTGTTGTCAATCTTGGATTGAGGAAGTATGGTCCAAATAAATGCCATAAACTTTTGGCAGCCCATTAAGAAGCATCATTAGGAATGACCCTGTGAGGGGGGGAATACAGATAGGAATGGGACCAAGGATAATGTAATATATTTTACTATGCTAACAATAGTAAGAGGATAACTTTAGCTAAGTAGGGAGTCAATAAAGGGTCTACTCTTTCACACTTACAGAAATTTTGATAATAGTGTTTAAAAAGTATAAACAGGTACATTAACATAAGAGGGTGATAAAATAAAAAAAGCAGGAACTCTGTAGACTGTAGAGTAGCAATGGACTACCATTATGGAGGGAGAATTCAAACAATCCAGAAAAAGGACAATATAATACTTTGAACTTTACAGATCAATGCTATAAGAGGACAGCTATAGCCAATTAGGGACTCGATAAACGGTAAACTCATTCATGCTTGAGGAAATGTAGAGAATGGTATTTCAAAATATAAACATATATAGGAAAAAGGCAAGATGTCAATAAACTGTAAAACAATAAAAGTTGATAAACTTTATACAATGACACTAGAGTAAAAAAACATCATATAACTATCAGGCATGATAATCCAAGCATGGTCAAAAGCTTCACGTTGCTAGCATGGATGGGTGCGAATAGCAGATCTAGGTTACGATTCAATGCTGTCTAGTGTCTACCTAACAGATACTTTGACCATTCCATAATTGCTAATAAAGTATCATCACACAATTTCTGCTTAAGTCACCATGCATCACAATGTTATGAAAAAGCCAACTTTTCACAAGGTCTGAACTGGACGCTAAAGATTTTCCAAATAAGAGAACTGTAAACTTGTTTATCATGCAATGACATACCGAAAAAATATTCTTCAAAGATCATGAAATAAAATACGTAAATATATAATAAGTAGCACATAAGCCTAACGTCTTGATATCCCTAAAAAAGCAAACTTGTCACTACAATTATAAATATGTTGGGTGGTCAGATATACGAGGAACTATAGAAAGTAACACACCTACCAATGAAAAGAGCTCATGCAAACATTTTGAGACCAATTACCAGCGATGTGTATTTCCTCAGCTTCATAGTTGCAATCTAACATACTTAAGTTGATGCATGAAGGAAGGAATACCCATTATTTAAATCATTACTGCATATTTAGTAAGAAGATTTTACGAGAGCATGATAATAATAACACAAATATGGAATGAAAAAGCAATCCTTACTGTCCAAAACATATATTAAAAGCATTAAGGTATAGCATGCTTAAATTAGTATATGGAATGAAAAGCAATCCTTACTGTATATGCAATGATTACATTATTTTATTTCAAGTATAAACAACAATAGAGAAAGATATACAAATTAAACCTACACAGAAGATTAAAAAAATAGAATTAAGTAATAGGACATAACTTGGTGTTTCTTTTCCTGCTAATGGACCCTTCTAATTTTTAAATTACATTAAATAGTCCAATATCCAAAATACAACAACTATTTTTTACATTACACCATGGATGCGAAACTTGATAAGGAAACCATGCAAAAAGCACCTTGCTATCTTGGGGTACCCTGACACTATATCCAGAATCCAACTTTTCATGTGCTTTGAGTTGAATGCTGGAGTATTATTTTAACAATGAAACTGCAAAGGTGCATAGCCTGCACTGACAACTGAACATAAAAGACAACCATAAAAAGGATAAAAAAATAAATAAGGAACAGTACTCTTACTAAACCCTGATAAAGTAGAGTTGTCACATCAATTCCAAATATATTGATGGGCCTACCTTAGTTTACACCGTTTCAGTCTCTGTTTCCTTAAAGAGGCAATGATCAGACAAAATAGCATACATGTACCACAATCTATAAGTTGAGGGTTAGCCTACAAAAACTTTTAAAGAATAGCAGAAAAATCTGATCTATCAGCAAAATCAACAACCAACTTTTATAATAATTGGTAAAAAGATGTAAAAGTAGGTATCACAGTATAACTGTTATGCTAGAGTCTTCATTGAAGCTATCGACAGATTTTTCCTGGTCGACGAATTGGATTTCTTTAACTTTCTAGTTCCCCTTCAACTTACTCTAAATATAAAACCAATATGTAAACACTAAAATTGACCACGTCAAACATCCATTACCCTAAACACATTATATATACAGGTTTCAAAGTGCACAACTAATCATCTGATAAAATGTCACAAATAATTCTTTACTTTAAATATTTAATTACATCCAAACCACGGATTAATCAATGATAAACAAGTGTCATTTGCATCATTGCTTAAATGCCACCTTTGTTCTATAAATACTTAGAAGACCACCATACCTGAAGCACTAAACTTCACCAAAACTACACTCACCAACCACAAGACGATGGCCTCTCCTTTCCACTACTGAACAGAAGATACTTTACTCAATGTCCTGCTCAAGTGGAATGAGAATGACGTCGGGTCAATTGGCATTATTTGTGGCCCTCTTATCATCCTTAGCGACTTCAATGAAGTTGAGGGAAGGGTTAACCTTAGGACATCCGAAAAAAGGAAGGCAACGGTTGGCACTTGTAGATGGTATGACTCAAGGTACTTCTTGTTCTGGTGCCTTTACGGCATCATAAGGATGTATGGCTTACAAAACTCTCAGTGGGAGTTTGTAGACGATCATGACTACACATATAAGAACATCTACTTGGCAACCATTTAATCCTACCAACCACAGACAAGAGTGAAACTACCAGCAACATTGCACAACCCAATCCTAATCCAAAACTTATACTGCCACACTTACATGAAGATTTACCCTCGCAAGAGAAGCCGCCGTCTCAAATTTAACAAGGTGCTCGTTGAGAAGAGGGGCCAAAACAGAGAAAAGCACAAACTGAAAGATGAAAACTTACCTTTTCCTAAAGAATTAGGGATCCACTTGGGCTTCGTTATAGAGGGTTGAAGCTAGACTAACTAAATGGGCTTTATTATCTGCAATTTTCAAATGCTCCCCATAATCCATTCATAGTTTCATAGGCATAGTAAAGTGTTATGTGTTAAGGATTAGTAGCATTTATATTTCTAGATGAATATTTCATATTGTGTTCCAAAGAACTAATATTCCTGTTTATCCTATTTTGTGTGTTTGGAGTGGCATTTATATTTATAAATGATTAAGTATTATAATTATCATACTCTATTTAAGAAAATTGTTTCTGATTTATAACAATTAAACTGGAGACGTTTTAATGGAAAATTCACAAACCCATTCCAAATATTGTTACTAAAAACTGAGATAAATTAGACTATTAAATTAATTGAATTAATAAATCAATATACATCATTGAGAACCAAAAATAATATTACAATTTCATTGTGACATACTAATTAATATCAAGCTAAAAAAGGAAGCTCTCCTCATGCCCAATTGCATAAAAACAAAAAAAAGAAGAGAGATTAAAAAATACATAAGAGGAATAAATGTAAAATCGTTGACTTCAAACAATTTGCCTGGTCCAGTGTTCTTCGCCCCCTTGACGAGCATCATACCCACATGCAAACCTGCATCAATATAACAAACAAAAAGCATAGACGAATCAACAATTTTCAGCATCAAAATAATAGATAGACAAACATTAGTAGTCTACAAAACATGCAACCAAATTACAGTAGCTTGTTGTTTACAATCATCAAAACAAAAAAAGAAGAGAGATTAAAAAAATTACATAAGAGGAATAAATGTAAAATCGTCGATTTCAAACAATTTGCCTGGTCTAGTGTTCTTTGCCCCCTTGATGAGCATCATACCCATATGTAAACCTGCCTCAATATAACAAACAAACAGCATAGATGAAGCAACAATTTTTAGCATCAAAATAATAGACAGACAAATATTAGTAATCTACAAAACATGCAACCAAATTACAGTAGCTTGTTGTTTACAATCATCGAAACAAAAAGTTTTTAAACAATCCTCGTAAATAGGGGGATATCAGTACTGTCTGCTTAGAAACATTAAGTACAAAATATCTTCTCAAAACATCAAGGACTCCCAACAATCCTAGAGTTGTAATACCTATCAAATCCCACTCGCCTAGAACTCATTCCTCATGTGCTGCACATCTGGGTAGTTCGGATCAACAAATACCGGTGTTGCATCATGGAATGAACATATATGCCCGCTAGCTGCATGAAAGGTATGAGATTAAATACAATGAACATAGAAAATATTAATGCTCTCCAAGAAAAATTAACATTGAAGTAGCAGTAGAACGGTGCTCTGTTACGATGGAGGGCCGACCGCCAGAGGGTGGTCTCTATGATACTGAAGACGGCGATGGGAGTGATCGAAACACAAAGAAAATTAGGCATGCAATGGACGAGGCTTTGAAAACAGGATTTGCACCGGGAGCCTCCTTCAAAGATAAGCTTATGGGAACAGAGGAGGAGCCTCTGGTGCAAGATAGAAAAGGAAGCAAGGTAGTTGACGAGGCGTGGAATGAATATATTGCTAGCCTGAAAAGCTTTTTCGTTCAAAAAGAAAATTTGGATCATGAGGAGTCGGATGATGAAGACTATCCTACATTTAGAGTCACACAAGAGGAATATGAGTTGTGGTGTGCTCCATGGAGGAAGTCGCTGATAATCAAGCTTCTAGGTAAATCTATCTCTTTGGGAGGCATGAAGAGTAATCGTGCTCGAATATGGAAGACAAACAAGGCCTTCTCAACCCGGGATCTGGATAATGATTTCTTTGTTGTCTCCTTCGAAGATGAGGGTGATATGAACTACATCTACCAAGAAGGGCCTTGGATGATAGCGGATAGGTATCTCATGGTTCAGCGTTGGAGACCAAACTTTGACCCTTGGTGTGCAGAAGTGCAAAAGAAAATCGTAGCATGGGTGAGGATACCACTCTTACCACTTGAGTTTTTCAACACTGCTAGTCTGAAAGGGATGGGATCTATGATTGGTCGCACGCTGAAGATTGATAGAATAACCCATACCAGTGAAAGGGGAAGATATGCTCGAATATGCGTCGAAATCGATCTTCAGAAACGCCTCAAGTCGGCGATAAATATATTTGGGAAAAGGAGGACCATTGGATACGAGGGACTACATTTGATATGCTTCCAGTGTGGGGTATACAGCCACCACAAGGATAACTGCATGGGAAAGAATATCTATCATGATCATGCAGAAACAGCACCTGTAAATTATCCTACCCAGCAACGTGAAGATACACAGGCTACAGTTGGGGACCAAGCAGCAGAGGGGAACGAGGTACTGTCTCAAATGGAAAGCAAGACTCAGGCGGAGGACCACCAAAAACGCCGGAGAAACGCCGATAAAACCAGGGAAGCCGCTGGTGACGGCGAGACAGCAAACGTACACAGTTTTGGGGTTTGGAACCTTATGCAACGGTCTACCAGACGCCGTTTTGGCAGTTCCGAACAATCAGGAAGACATAATCACGGTCATGAGCAATATCAGCGGAAAAAAGAATATCCTACCCAACATGATACTAGACCTGACATTAATGCAGAAAATCATTCTAATATAGGAAACCCAAGTATTGGGCGTGATTTTTCTGGATACTCCCGATCTCTTGAGAGAGAATCTGCCGGTCAGAAGAAGTGGGTCCAAGTAAGACCACCTAAGCAAACTCAGAGAGGAAAAGATGGGAATGCACAACTTTCTCCCTATCCCGAAAAGAAAACTAATGATAGTCGAGACCCATCGTTAGTGGAGAAGCCCAGTAGCAACTTCCTAAACTCGCATAACCCTTTTGCTCCTTTGGATGGCTTGACTCAAGTTAATGGGTCAGCAGACATTGAGCCCATTCCTCTCTCTAACCCTAAGCTAGACAAAACTCGTGATGTGGTGATGGAAGAGGACAGCCACGACATTAGGATGGAAAAGGTGCAGATCACGCACGTGGCTATGACTGAACAGATTCATCAAGTGGAAGTTTTGACCAGTTCGGCTCAAGCCATGCCTTATTCGAACCAGCTCTGCTTTCTTTCTTCACCAGGGCCTATAAGCAACGCACCCCGTTCTGAAGGGGATCAATGAATTGTATCTTCTGGAATTGCAGGGGGACTGGATCAAAAGCTTTACCGGGTTTGGTCCGTCAAATTCAGAAACGGTACAATATAGATATGCTAGCTCTTTTTGAAACCAAAGCAAGCGGAGAAAAGGCTCGACAACGAAGCACTAATATGGGTTTTATGAATGCCGAAATTGTAGATGCTGTTGGTTACAAAGGTGGAATATGGGTCCTTTGGAATGAGGGAGTTTTTAAAATCCAGGTCATCGAAAAATTTGAACAAGGTATTCACATTGTGGCTGACTGAGGAGATACTAAGCTCTTCATCACTTCTGTTTATGCTAGTCCAAACCCAAATGTAAGGAGACGTTTATGGGACAAACTCCAAGATCTTTGCCTAGGCAAACAATGGCCATGGATCATTGGAGGTGATTTCAATGCCATTCTCTATGCTCACGAGCGTCGATCTACTGCTCAAGGTCCCAGTACTACTGACCGTGATTTTGGAAATTGGTTTGAAAATATGGAGCTCATAGATTTGGGGTGCAATGGTCCATTTTATACCTGGAAGAGGCAAGGCTGTGAAAGTCAAATTGACCGAGTTTTAGCTAACAACCAGAGTATGAATGCCTTCCCCGATGCCACTATAAAGCACCTCCCTTGGTTTAAGTTTGACCACAGACCAATCCTGTACCAAACTAAGAATGAAGAGCCACAACTGAGTGGAGACCGTCCATTTCGCATGATAGCTCCATGGATTCTTCACGAGGACTTTGCCAGAGTGGTGAAAGAGTCTTGGATCTTGAACGCAGATTGGACAATCCTGAGAACATTCGTGATTTTCAGCCTATCAGTCTTTGTAATGTGATATATAAAGCTATTACTAAAGTTGTGGCAAATCGAGTTAAGCACTTGCTCCCTCACGTCATATCTCCAAATCAATGTGGCTTTATCGCCGGTAGAACCAGCTCGAATAATATTATTGTGGCTCAGGAGGTCATACACTCAATGAGGAAAATGGCAGGCAAGAAAGGCTTTATCGCTATTAAGATTGATTTAGAAAAAGCCTATGACCGCATTCGATGGGATTTCTTGATGGCTTGCTTAGAGGAACTTCATTTCCCAACTATGATAACTAAAGTAATCCATGCTTGCATCTCCTCCCCTTCCATGCAAATTCTTTGGGAAGGAAGCAAGGCTAATGAATTCTCTCCCTCTCGTGGACTTCGACAAGGAGACCCCATCTCCCCCTACCTCTTTGTGATTTGTATGGAGAAATTGGCCCACCTCATCCAGACAGAGGTCGACAAGGGTCGATGGAGACCTATCAAACTGAGTAAGAATGGCCCTTCTATCTCTCATTTATTTTTTGCTGATGACCTTTTGATTTTTGCAGAGGCAAGTTTAGAACAGGTGGAAGTCATCAAGGCGTGTCTGGAAAATTTCTGCCAGGCTTCAGGGCAGAAAGTGAGCATGAGCAAAACTAGAGTCTTCTTCTCAAAGAACATTAACCACACGAGATCCACACAGCTAAGCAGCGAGTTAGGATTCACCACTACTGGAGAGCTGGGAAAATACTTGGGGATTCCTTTACATCATGAACGTGTCACCAAAGGGACGTATCAATTTATTATTGACAAAATTAAAAGTAGATTAAGTAGCTGGAAAATTAATAAACTTTCCCTTGCAGGTAGGGACACTTTGGTGAAAGCTGCCACAGCAGCGGTTCCAAACTACACTATGCAGACCATGGACCTCCCAAACAGCACCTATGATGCAATTGAAAAGAAGGCCCGTGACTTCCTCTGGGGATCTTCAGAGGAACAATGAAAGATGCATCCCCTCTCTTGGAATTCAGTTTGTACAGAAAAACAAAAAGGAGGCTTAGGCATGAGGCACATAAAGCACCAAAACAAAGCTTTCCTCATGAAGCTTGGATGGGGTCTAGTCAAAGACCGAGACTCTCTTTAGGTCAAAGTACTCAGGGGAAAGTATGGTTGCGGCAACGATATTATACCAAATATTGATACTCGGAGGACAGGCTCGAATACCTGGCAAGGGATCAAGAAGAATTGGCACCATGTTAAAGACGGTATACAGCAGACTCAAGATAGGAGCGGTGTTGGCCAGATCCATTGGAAATGGGAGAAACATGGCAACTTCAGTATAAAATTTGCTTACAGAATCATTACCGCCAAAAATGCAAACCCCACGGGTATATGGTCTAATATTTGGAAGCTGCGAATACCGCAACGATGTCGTATGTTTGCTTGGCTTATGGCTCATGAAAGACTAGTTACGAACCAGTTAAAATGGAGACGAGGTTTACACCCCAATGGTATCTGTAGCAGATGCAACATGGCAATGGAAGATGCAATGCATGCGTTGCGAGACTGTATACACACAAGATGTCTTTGGGATTCAATAATAAAGCCTGAATATTATACACACTTCTTCTCGGCAGACATGTCGGATTGGATACGTTTGAATTTAACAAAGCAGGCAGGCTATGGCAGCATCTATTGGAAAGGCTTATTTGTGGTCCTTTGCTGGCTTCTCTGGCGGGCAAGAAATGAGAGTTATCACTCGAATATATCAACGCCTTGTGATAAGATTCTGATGAGAGCGAAAGGTATCATGGGATGCATGAGTGCTACCTCTAAAAAACTACTCGACGTTAACCTGGGAACTCAAGCTCGGAGACCTCACAACACTTCTAGCACTTCTAGCAGAGACATAGTCCTCGTCGAAGTAGATGGAGCCTTCTCGTACAGAACTAATGCAGCTGCTTGTGGAGGGATAATTAAAAGAGGTAACCAACACCTGATCGAAGGTTTTCTCCTCAAACTTGATGTCCAGGACAACCTTGCGGTAGAACTCTGGGGATGCCTAATGGGTCTCAAAAGGGCCTGGGATCACGGCTACAGAGATATAATCCTCAGAAGTGACTCTGTAGAAGTTGTCGAACTGATTGAGGGCGAGATAAATGACATGCATGAAGACTGGATGCTTGTCTGGGAAATCAAAGAGATGTTACAAAGAACATGGCGTGTGGAGATTCAACAAATTGATCGCAATGAGAATGGCAGTGCCGATAATCTTGCTAAACGGGCTCTTAGCATCAACCATGACTTCCAGATCCTTGGACCTAACGCGTTGAGAGCTGCTCTCCAGGCGGACTTCTTAATCGATTCTAGCTAGCTTGTTTTTCCTTTCCGATGTATCAAAAAAAAAAAAATGAAGAGCCAGCAATGCAATTAATGGTTGAGCAATAGACATGGCGGAGGTGTTGAGATTGAACTGTAGTGAAGACAAAGGCAAATAACTTTCATAACAAATAAACTTCAAATTTCAAATTTAAATTAGCCATTAGAGGGAAAACTGACCTCACAATATTGGAGCCCAAGTCATTAGAAAAGGTTATCATGGCCCCAACGCAGCCCGATGCATATTAATTAAAGCATTTTTCACTTGTGAACAGTAAAATGAGTCTAGAGCCATCATGGAGCCGCTATTACAGATGGCTTGGGTGGAGTATCTTTTTATTATATATTGATTATGTCTTCTGTAATATTTTCCCTTTTCTAATGAGAAAAATAAACAAACGAAATAGTTTCCCACTAGTGATATCTTTTCATTGGTTTTTTTAAAATGATGAATTTTAATTAGCTACTAACTACTAGCAAGGAAAAACGTAAAAAATATTTGTTTGACCTTTGACTAGATGGTTTTTAAATTGCTGCATAGATATAAACAAAGCATGAAAACAGCAGTTTTGCTGACCAAAGTGAATTTTTTAAAGCATATTGTACGGCACGAAGATGGAGAAGAGTTCACCTCCAGGCTCATCATGGAAACTACGTTGTAGACACGTTTCTGTATTATTAAAAAAAAAAATTTATTTTCAGCGGCGGCTTTTAATTTAGCTGCCGCTAAAACTCTTGGAAGGTTGACTTTCGGTTGGGAAAGTGACTTAGCAATAACTTTCTATTGTCACTAAAAATATTTAGCGGCGACTTTTTAATTTGATATTGCTCAAATCTTTTTTTTTTTTTTGGTAGTGTTTATCGCCTTAGTTGAAACACAAATTTCTACCTAAAAGTAAGAATTGAATCGTCTAAATTTTAACTGCAAAAGAGATCTAGAATTGAAATTATTAAGAATGCAATTGTTCTTATTTTTGGAGACTATATAATTTATGCATATATATCTGCATTTGTCAATGCTGTTTGCCTTTTGACCAAGCACATGAATAAGTTCCAAGCCGTTGCGTTTCAATGTATTTATTCCATTATTAAACGAATCAACCAATACAACAACGTTGCTTGTCTTCCTCACCAAACTTTATACTAAATTAAATTAAAATGCAATTCTTCGTGGGCAATAATCCTATATAAGGGCCATAATTGGTCACAATATTTCTCAAGCCTTAAAATCCATCAATCTTTTCCTTAGTTATACCTTGACAAGTCAAAGTACAAACATGTCAAGCAACAGCGTCCCCGGAGTGAACCTTTCCGACCATCAGGTTATGCCAGTGATCGGCCTAGGCACCGGCGATTTTCAATCTACTGCCGAGGCCGTGAAGACGGCAGTCATAGAGGCTATCAAAGTCGGGTACAGACATCTGGATTGTGCTTCAGTTTATGGGACAGAGCAGCCACTAGGGGAAGCCATAGACGAAGCTCTTAAACTTGGTCTTATTGGGTCCAGAGACGAACTCTTCATCACAACCAAGCTGTGGTTCACTGATTGTCATTCTGATCGCGTCGTTCCAGCTCTCAAAAAATCTCTTGGGTGAGCATATATAATTAACTGTTCAATTTCCTGATCATTTGAAACTAAGAATAATTAATTATAACTAAAAAAGAGCTTAACTTTTGGGGTGTATTTTATATATATGCAGGTTGCTAAAACTGGAATATCTGGACCTTTATTTGATTCACTTACCAGTTAGTTCAAAGACTGAAGATAGTGGTATATACCCATCTAAAGAGAATATAGAACCATTAGACGTAAAGGGAGTGTGGGGAGCAATGGAAGAGTGCGAAAAACTTGGTCTCACAAAATCAATTGGAGTCAGTAACTTCCCTGTGAGGACACTTGAGAGTTTATTATCTGTCGCTACAGTTCCTCCTTGTCTAAACCAAGTAAGACCATTAATCTCTTCACAGTTTTTTTGTTGTTGATATTTTTCACAATTTCTCGTCCCTGCTTTACCGTTATTGATCTCTTGACTTTGGCATATGTTTGATTAGGTGCTAATAAATGCATAATTGAGCAATCACTGCTAGAAAAAGTCAGAATATCTTACTCCCTCCCGTCGATACAAGTCATTTCTAGAAAAATGTTTGGTTTAAAATATAAGTCATTTGCACAGTAATTAATGTTTATTTGTCAACTTTGTTCCTATAATTAATGCTTAAACGTAACTCCTTATATTTTTCTCTATTCTTCACAATCTCATAATATGGGCAAAGTTGAAAAAAAATTTCAATTTGAAACGCATTTAATGAATTAACCACAACTTTTTGATATTTTATGAATTTTTTAAAATGACTTACATTGTGGATTGAAGAAAGTAATTGTACTCTTTTACTCCTATTTATAAGACACAGAAAGGAATTTTTGGGCCATATTTATAAATTACATTAAATTTTTTATATGAATATATAATTTTATCATTTCTATACTACTATGTAGACTTTGTTCACATGGGGTATAGTATATATTCAATAAGGAAAAATTTAAAAAAAAGAGTTAATGATGTTGAAGTTTTTATTAGTTTTGGTAAAACAGGTTAGAATTGACTAATAAATATGATCAAAAGGACTACATATAAGAGTAGCATGCTTTGTTTTTTTTTTTTAAGTTGATTTTAATTAAACTGGATATGAAATAATCATTACTCGGGTTGGCTTTCAAGAAATTAACTATTTTGCAAAGCTAAACCAAATAGCTCATAAAAATAAATTCAAAATTTGTAAATACCAATAATTGACATTTGAGTTAAAATGCATTTCTCTTTATTTTTATGATACAGGTGGAGATGAACCCTACATGTCAACAAAAGGAGCTAAGAGAATACTGCAAAGAAAAGGGTATACTTGTAACTGCATATTCTCCTCTCGGAGCTCCAGGTACTGGATGGGGAAACAATCGGATCGTGGACAATGAAATTCTGATTGAAATTGCTAAATCTCACGGAAAATCAGTTGCTCAGGTTTTAATTTTAATTCCAAGTTCCTTAATTTTAGATTTTTCAAGTGTCTATTTTTAGTTTTTGCAATGGAATGATAAGATATTTCATTGTAATATTCTCTTTGGCGTAATACAGGTTGCCCTGAGATGGCTGTATGAGCAAGGAGTGAGTTTTGTTCCAAAGAGTTATAACAAAGAGAGAATGAAACAGAACCTAGAGATATTCGATTGGTCACTTACACAAAATGACTTGGACAAGATCAGTCAAATCAAACAAATAAGATTAAATCAGGAGAACCCTTTATTCCCATACGTTGCTTGATGCCTACATCGTTCATGAAATTCCAAGTTATATTGTAATAATAGCTATTTGGTTTTTGTATGTTTCTTTTTTCCCCTAGTTATGTCTTCCTCTTCTTCCAATAAAGTAGTGGTTATTTTATTTTCCTTGTGAAACGGCGAATCAAGCACTACTGTTGTACGTTGGATTTAAATAGTGCTCGTACCTATATGTGAATTGTGAAGCTTCAAATAAAGATGTAATTTTGTGAAGGTACAAGTGTTGCAGCGTTCTTTTTTTGCACCTGTATGTTTTGTATTTTTTGAAGGAATAAAGATGTTATTTTATTACTTCCAGCTACCAATAAAAATTGTCATTGTATTTATATATGCGTGAATTACATATGGTCTTATATGTCTAGTCTTGTGTATTGAAACCGTCCCTTGATTCAAAGCCTCCTTATTATATGCAATTAATAGGGATATTTTGTGCAGAAAAATTATAAATTTGATAAGCAAAGTGAATTAAGTTTTTATATTTAAGATCAAGAGAAATTCTTACGTATTCCCAGTGTGCCAGCTCATTTGAACTCTGTCCAATGAAAATAATCCACCTCAAATAATTTTAATCTACCTCTCATCCTACTCATTTCCATTAATTGTATTTTTGAAAAAAAAAAATGAAGATGTCTGGGGTCTTGTGATTCCTTTATTGGCCTCCTTCTCCTTTTCTCATTTCTTAATTCTTATCCCCTCCGAAACTCCATAGTCCATCCCTTCCTTCCTTCATCTCCCCATTCTCTTCTCTGATGCCGATTGCGATGAAATCTTTCACCGGCAACGGCGACCCTTGCCTAGCCTCTTACAATAGGAATGATAGTGATGAAAAAAGCAAATACAAATAAGATTCGAACATGATAAACATTCAAGAGCCTAGAAAAATGAATGGGTTTATATCAACATGATGAACATTCAAGAACCCAAAAAAATGGATGGTTTCATATCAACATCGGAAGTGGCAGAGGAGACAATGAAGAAGTAGCAGCTTCGTCGATTCAGCCCTACAGAGTGGAAGACTTCTGCGCCGTTGGCCGTCATTGGTGGAGACTGAAAAGACTTTTTCGCTGGTGGAAAATCTCACCGCCATTGATTCCGCTTCGTTGTTTAGATCTGCAAAGTGGATTTTCATCTGTGTCACTGGTCAAGAGTCCAACCACCGTCGCACGTCACTAGGGGAGAAGATGTCGCCTTCCGTCCCCGTCGTCGGCATCTAAGAAGAAAATGAAAAGGTGGAGGGAGGGAAGAGGTAGGGTTTGAGACAGGAAAGGGACAGAGAAATGAGAAAGAGAGAACAGCAGTAAACGAATCACATGACCCAGACATTTTCATTTATTTTTAAAAATACAATTAATGGAAATGAGTAGGATGACGGGTAGATTAAAATTATTTGAGGTGGATTATTTTTATTGGACAAAGTTCAGATGAGCTGCACACTGGGAGTAGCTAAGAATTTCTCTTAAGATCAAAGTGTTTTTGTATAACTTCTATATTTAGAAATAGAGGTAGTAATTTTGATTTCAAAAAATCAATTAACATTTGGTAAAATTGTTAAAAGAAAAACGGGTTAAAGTGTATTTAACAGTCTAAAATATTTTTATATGTGTACCCATCATTTAAAATATTTTTAGATCAATTCCAACCCGATCTCACACCTAAGTTTATAAACCAGTTACTCTCCCTCTCTCATCATCATCAATATCATATCTGCCCCTTTGCAACCCACTCTTCAATCTATTCACTTTTAAAACCAATCAAGCTCTCTCTCTCTCTCTCACTCACCCACACTCAATTCTACTGGGCTCACGGTAAGATATATGCAAATTAAATTGGTGTAAGCTAAACATGTGTTTTGGATGGAGCTACTCCCAGCCCAACCATGCTTGTCTCTGCAAATCAGCATCCAAACCACTACTTCAAATTCAAAATCTGTTCCAAACTTTTTTAAGTCTTTCCCAAGTAACCCAATCGATCTCGCTGCATTTTCTTGACCCTCTAAATGCCCTTCTGTCAGCAATTTCAAAAGTGATCCAAAACCACCCTCCTCAATCATCTATCAATTCGTTGTACCTGTATTAAAAAGCATTTCACTTGCTCGCCTGGTTGAGCCACGATGAGAAAGGGGGAGTAAGTCGGTTACGAACTAACATTAACTCATGGTGTTAGATTGGGTGAAATTGATCTGATTTTAATATATGAGGGGCAAAATTACACCCCCAACATATTTTAAAGTACTAGATGTACCTGTAAAAATATTTTAAGGTGTTGGATGCGCCATAAGGGAAAAAAAAACTGTATGGTTTGTACATCAAAATTAGACTAATTACAAGGGAAAATTGTCCACAGGTGTTTGGTAAAAAAGTCAAATTTTTACAAGTTTTATAATTATAAAGCTTGGTGACTTGTAAACATAAATGTTTAAATTTGACGTGTAAGATACAATATATGCGAAAATACAATAAAATTAGAAAAATTAAAAGATCTTCTAGAATATTTTAACTCAGTCAAGATAAAATAATCAAGATTATCTACATAAGAGAATCCCATCATTAATGAGAATGGTTATAGAATTCTACCATTACCGAGAAGGTTTTTATTTGACTCTACTAATTAATATATGTAATACAAAATAAGTAAGTCTTTGCTTTCAAGAAACAATAAATACAAAATAAAAAAACTATAAAATAGAAAACTAATTAAAATAAAGAGAATCCTAATAATGCTGTATAAGACCATTTTTATATCTCTTGAATCTTTTTGGATTCTCGAAATGGATCTTTATAAATTCTAGCTACATTCATCAACATGTATGAGCTTTTTAGACATTCATTTGGACTTGAATATGACTGAATCATGTTCTAAAATTTTTGTGGTCCATAACAAAATGCATTAGGGTCCTAGTTTAAAAGATTGTGGCTCCATTAGACTATTCCATGCACATATAATTATACTGGGCGTTCAATCACATTGGAATGGGGTTCAAATGCTCTTTTTGGGCTCTCAAAATATGCTCTTGTCTTTCTTAACATGCCAGTATACATACACCATTGACTCATCTGCCGTGGTGACCTTTAGGGTGCTTTCACTACCAAAAAAACATCTGATTAGCGACAGAATTTACTGACGGAATTTTTATTCAGTGATGAATTAGTGACGGAATCAAATTACCGACCAAATTGGTTCCGTCGCTAATTTTTTCGTCACTAATTGGATTACCGATGGAATTAGTGATGGAATCAAATTCTATCGGTAATTACTGACGGAATTTCAATTCCGTCACTAATTACTAATGAAATTTTTCCGTCTCTAATTACCGACAGAATTCTGATTCCGTCGCTACTATATTTTTTTAAAAAAGAATTAAAATGCCACCCCACCTTGGCCGCCACATGTCATCACCTTATCTCCACATGTCGCTGCAACCTCACCTTCGCCACCACGTGTCAATGCCACCTCACCTCCGCTGCCACATGTCAGTGCCACCTCACCTTCTCTGCCACGTGTCGCTGCCACCGCCACATGTCACGACCTCATCTCTATGTGTCATTGCCACCTCACCTCTGCCGCCACGTGTCGCTATCTCACATGGCACCTTGTATTGCCACATGTAGCCATCATATAATTCCTCCTTAAAGTGACTTCTCCACGGCTCGAACCAAAGACCTCGTTTGTGCACGTGCACGACTTTACCAGTTGAGCTGCAATGAACTTACTGACTTATTATGTAAAATTAAAAATATATATAATATTCTCTTACACAAACAATTATATATACACACATATATTATTAGAAACTAAAAATAAACTATATGATAATTTTAATCATAATTATTTTTGTAACAAAATAATTTTTAGGTATTTGTTTTACTATTTATTTTATAATGCTTTATTTTTTAAAAAATTATTTTAAATATAATATTAATTTCCAACGACACTAATTTTGAATTTTAAATAGTAAATAATTTTTTCATAAATATATTTTTTAAATTTAATTCTTTTATTTAATATTCATAAGATATATAATTTAATTATATATTTATTATATTATTATATTATCTTATGTTAAATATTATATTTTAGCCACATAATTAGCCACGGAAATTAGCAACAAAATAATTTTTTGTCACTAATTTCGTGGCTAAATTAGCCACGGAAAAGTATTCCGTCGCAAATCATAATTATAAAATTTTAGCCACGGAATTTTCTGACAGAAAAAATTCCGTGACTAAGTCTATGACTAATTTTAATTATAAAATTTTAGTCACGGAATTAGGCACGGAATTTTCTGACCAAAAAAATTCCGTGGCTAATTCCGTGAGTAATTTTAATTATAAACTGTGGCTAATTAGCGACGGATTAAATTCCGTCGCTAATTCCGTGGCTAAGTTTAGCGATGAAAATTTCATGGGTAATCCATCAAAAATCAGCAACGAAAATTATTCTGTTACTAATTCCGTCAGTAATTAGCTATTTTTTTGTAGTGTTTGTCATGTATCATGTCTAGCTCTACATATGGAATTATCCATGTCATCATCTAATCAACGATGCATGTTCTCCTCCATATAAGTATTTTTGAGCTAGAAATCCATCGAATGCTTTGGAAGCTTCTTGGGCTTTTACTTGGATGAATGCTTCTTAGGTTTTTAGACCTCCATATTAAACGTCTTTTGGTATGCCACAAATCTACACCAATATTATATAGGACACATACATGAGCGATTTAATTAAGAAATCATATAATTGCTTAAGGAAACAATACATATATTAACAGTTGATTATGAGTACTTTTATGTTTTGTATATCTGGTGGAAGATTTGAATTTTGCACAGAGAGGGACACAAATTTTGGTGACGATGGGCAAATGATCCTTCATCTTGCAAAAATTACATATATAGTTGCCTAAGTTTTAATATTTTCCATTATAGTTATAATCTTATAATTGAAACCCACTAATCCACTACTCAGTTTAGAATCAGATATCTTTGAATTGGATATTTAAATTTTTAACTTAATCCCAACATATACAAAATTAAATTTTTTATTAGACACACCTAACCGATCTTTCCCATAATTTTTTTTTAAGAATATGATTATTTAATTTTTATCATAGCTGAAAGTCTCTTTTCCTCTTCTAGTGGGCTACCTTTGCTTCCATAAATTTTAGATATTATTTTTGAACTCTTATTTGGACTGTTTGGGAGGGCTTAAATGGGCAAAGAATTAATGGGCGCCGGGCGAGATACTGGGACGCGGTCCCAGCTCAGATCCAATGCTCAAGTAAGGATATTTCTGTA